ACTCTGGTTTCTCTGATCTTTCTGTCTTAAATCAAAGAGTTTTGGTTTGTTGTGGATCAAAGAACCTTTGAAAATTCAATGGTTTTTGTTTTCGTTTTGTTTTTTCTATAATTAGTTTCAACTGCAACTTGGGCCAAAGTCGTTTTTATGCTAAAAAAATGAAACAAAAGTTGGTGGTATTGGTATTGGTATTAATTTAAGTTCTAAAGTAAAGTACTGTGTAATAATCTCTACGTACGGTGTACCCGTACGTAGAGGTTACTTCTTGCAATACCGTGTGTTTCAATTATTTTATTATTTTTTTACTGTTTCTTTTCTTCTAGAAAATACTTATTTTAATATGAAAATATTGGAAATGTTAAAAATGTATTTGACCGCAAACACTCGCCATAGAGTGCAAAATCCGCACTACAAGAATACATTAAACATATTAAAAACTCGCGATGCACCGAGGCCGCGACAGTCGGACCGCGATACAGCGAGCGACGACTGTACTTTTCTTTTTTCTTTACTTTATTTTCAATTGTTTTTTTTATTATTAAAATGTTCAAATTAATTGTCACTGATTTACTACCACACACTGTGTTGAGTATTAAACACACACACACACACGGTGTGGTCGAGGGTGTGTGTTTACCACCGGGAGACATTCTTCACAATCACAGACGGTCGTCATCAACAAAGATGGCTGCGTTACCTGGCAACCGGCTGCTACAAACTACAAAGAGCCGACGTAAACAGTGGAAGAAGGAAAAGCTGCAGTGACTTGTTCATCAAAGGAGCAAGAAAGAGGAGAAACGTCCGCCGACAGAGGGAGAGAGGGGGGAGAGAGGAGGAGGGAGAGGGGGAGAGAGATAAAGACCATGAGTTAAACAAACTTTATCAGCTTTTCGAGGGATGGGGGACAGCAGTGCACGAAACTCTGCCGACACCCACAACAACAAACAGCAGCGGTGACGAGTGAGCTAACGGAGGTTAGCCACGGTTAGCTGTGGAGCTAACGACACAGATGGAGAGTCCGGCGGACTCGGCGGCTTCCTCCCAGCGGAGGGACACGGTGAAACAGAAAATACAGATATTCGGTCGCATTAAGCCGTCAAAGAAACCCTCGGCCGTAAGTCAGCGACGACAATTAAACAACTGCGAACTTCTGGACTGTTCTAGAAGTTGTTGTTAACCGGACCCGTTACAAGCGAACGTTCACTAAGTGACAGGTGGTCACTGTGAGCTAACAGGGTATTTTACACCATGTGTTGTTTATCTGAGATTTAGGTCAAAATATGGTTAGTAACGTAAATGTTCACATTAAGAGTTAACTACAAACTATGTTGACCATATGTGTCAAACTCAAGGCCCGGGGGCCAAATGTGGCCCGTCCCGCAGGAATTTAAAAAGCCTTTAGTGAAGTCCATGCTGCAGAGTTTCTTGACCTGAGAAATTAAAAAGTTTATATACTTTTATACTTTATGCTGGTACTAGTCTGTAGTAACAGACCAGTACCAGCTGTTACTACAGACCAGTACCAGCTGTTACTACAGACCAGTACCAGCTGTTACTACAGACCAGTAAAAATTAAGTAAATGTTTACACTGTGTCCTGGTACCAAATGACCTATGGACTGGTACTGGTCCACGGACCAGGGTTTGGGGACCCCTGATCTATACAGTCTTCCAGTTACAACCGGCCCTTCAAGGGGAATAATTGGTGATGTGGCCCTCTGGTGGAAATGAATTTGACCCCCCCCCCGAAGTAGACAGTAAAACCAAAGGAGCTAAGAGATACTAAGAATTCAAGGTTGGTAGAAAAAACCTCATTACTGATTAATACTAAATGTACTTGTATAATCTTTAAACCAATGGGATACTGCAGTGGTGACTACTTTTTTGGACTGTTGGTGTCGGAAACCTGTTGACCCGCAGGTGAACACGTCAACATGTCGGGTGAACTACCTGGTCCAGATCCTGTTTGAGTTCTGCTGCCCCTTCAGGTCATAATCACAAAACTGTGACAGTGTCTGTTCCACCTGAGTCCTTGAACGGACCCAGTAGAACAAAGTCCGGTTCCACCCGGGGCTTCGTTGAGGTCCTACGGTGTCTTTTACCCCTGACCCCCTGCAGGTCGTAATCGCACCTCGGTCACTCACTCTGTGAATGGCCTAGCCTTAAGACTGCCTCCACAGTACATGTGCTGTAATTACACATACCAGTCGTAGTAGACGTGCAGTAGAGGGTTTTAAAAGTTAACCTTGGGTCTGAGTCTCCTGTTGTCTCTGCCACCCCCCCCCCCCCCCCCCCCCCCCCCCCATGAAGAGAAGCCCGGTGCGTCTCTGGAGTTCGTGGTGCCAAAGGACCTGGCTGACGGCTTCGTTAACAACAAGAAGGAGTGCTACAGGTTCAGGTTGGTCCGCGACCCAGATGTTTGTTTTTTTTAATTAAAACGTCATGTATTGTGGTTAAGTACGAGCTGGGAACAAAGACAATTACTTATGTGTGACTGTTGCCCCGGGTGTATTTTTCACCTGTCTGTCAACGTGAACAATTGTTGTTGTTTCCTCCGATGTCATGGTGACGCTGTTTTGTTTTTGTCCAGGTTCCAGAAAGTGTTTGATCAAACAGTCAAACAAGAAGAGATCTTTCAAAACATTGCCAAACCAGTGGCCGACAGGTAAACTTCACGGAGGAGAAACAAACACCACAGACACAGTTACAGCCCCCCCTACTGGTGAATGTTAGTTTGTCCTCCCTGCTTTATGTAACTTGTACAACAGGGTATAGAAATGAGAGACGAATCCTGGCTACACACTTTTCCAAAGCTGCTCACATATTATAAACTCCTCCACAAGGGTTCCCAACCCCCGGGGCCAGAGATCAGTACTGGTTCATGGAGTATTTGGCACCGGCCCGCGCAGAAAGAATCCAAAGTTCTGGTCACTTCTACTTTACGTTTGTATTGTTAGTTGGTACAATAGAAAACCTGAGTTAATCGTACATCTTAGGGCGTGGCCAGGTCACTCTGCAGGTTTATATCTGTGAAGTTCAGTACTTCAGATGTATTTGTTTTGTCTCACAGTAAACGTTATGTAAAGGAAGAAGTCTGCAGATTTAATATTCTGCTCCAAAGAATCTTAAAGTTCCCACTATGAGCAAACAGCTGGCAGCGGTGGAGAGGAAAAATCTCTTGTCTATTTACAGAGACTTCAAACAGAATCAAATTTGAGGCGACAGAGGGTTTTCGCTCAAGTCCCGTCTACGGGAAACATTTATTCAGTCACGACTCCTTCAGGAAACGCAGCAGTTTCACGATGATCGCACCAAAACTGAGTTTGATGAACGCGGGCGCCAGGATGAACCGGCGGGTTGGGTCGGTACTCACGTCGTACTCACGTCGTACTCCTCGTGACCCTCACGTCGTACTCTGAGCTTGGCCCGAAGCTCTTTCTCAGCTACAGACACATCAGGACACACGGACCCAAACACACACCAGAACTAATGGCTGCTCAGGTCCGACCCCCCCCCGCCCTCTCTCAGAGCTGGCAGGTCCGACCCGGCCACGGGGTTCTGCTGGGCTCTGTTCTGAATCCATTAGAACATAAAGAACGTTGACCTTCAGGATGATGAGCTGGCACACGCTGGGAAAATGAAGGCGTAAACAGGAAAAGAGCGGTGAGAGCCCGGCCCCAGTGGCAGTGGCCAACCCGCATCGTTAGCACAGACGGCCAGTTGAATACGAGGCCTGTGTCGTTCCTCCACCTCTGCCAATCAGGGCCGTGACTCACTAACTGGACACCAGGGCCAACTCGCTGACCGCCCCTCTCATGACTGGACACAGTGTTTTATCTGAACTGACACATCACTTTTTCCTCCCTGACCTTCTCAAACAGGGTGTGGAAATGTACAGCACTAGGAAAGAAGAGGGAAAAAAATCCCTCCAGACTTGAAGACTGGGTGGCGATACTTCAGTATTTTTCCCACAGTAATTTTCCCCCTAAACTTTAATCCGATCTTTGATGTGAACACACCTTTGTCATTTTTCTGTGTTTTGGCTTCAGATTTCCAGATTTACTTCCAGAACTATAAACGCGGACCATTTTCACTGGGAATTTTTTCAACAGGTGGCGTAGTTCTAAACTACTAAAACCTGACATATATCCTATATCATTGTTTCCCAAAGACTGGGTCGTGACCCTAAGGTGTGTCGCAAGAGGTTTCTTTTTTTTGGTCGTCTCACATCGTGTTTCCCAAGAGTTTAGAATCATGTCTGTGACCCGATGACTCGGGTCGCGAAGGTTTGTGACTTTTAAGAAAAAAAGTTTGGGAAACACTGGTTTCTCAATTATTTTCTGCCATGCCCCCCCTGGTGGACAGAAGTCCACACCCCTAATTAAAATGCCATTATAGACCTGGTAATATCTATCGGTTTATCTGTTCAAACCACTGTTGAGTTGACTTTGACTTTCATATTCAGACATTTTTTTTATTTTTAGGACACATTATTTTTGCCAAATCCAGGCATTGTGTTATCGGGTTTTCATTACTGGAGGAAAAACTGTTAACGACAATAACAATTCTTAGAGATATTACGTAGCTATGCTAATATCGGTCCAATATTATTGGACACCCCAAATTCCAACCAAATCCACTGATCTCTCTGTCAGAACAGAGAACAAACAGAATATCAACTGACATGGTCTGTGAACCTCACCAACTGACATGGTCTGTGAACCTCACCAACTGACATTGTTGTCTTCAATAACAGACCATCTCCATTGATCAGTGACTCCTGACACCTTCATGGACCATTCAGTTTTGATTTCATTCAATGAGAGTTGTCATTAATTTGCATCAATTTTTTACACCGACTAACGAGGCATCGTTACGATATTAAACAGCGCTAGTTAAAATATTTGTCCCTTGTTTTTTCTAAACCTTCCAAACCCCTGAACACTGTTAAAGTGTTAATGGGACTCTGTGTCTGTGTGTTTGCAGTGTACTCGCTGGCTATAATGGCACCATCTTTGCCTACGGTCAGACAGGAAGTGGGAAAACCTTCACCATCACAGGAGGAGCTGAGCGTTACAGCGATCGAGGGATTATCCCCCGCACGCTGTCGTACCTGTTCGACTGCTTCAGCCAGGTCAGGACGTCATGAACTCCATACATGGTTTGTGTTTGGTTTTGTTATGTGACGTGTTTTGATGCATGTTTTCTGAACTCCCTCTGCAGGACAGCAGTATGATTTACACCACCAACATCTCCTACCTGGAGATCTACAACGAGCTGGGATATGATCTCCTGGACTCCAGACGTGAAGCTTCTCGACTGGAAGACTTACCGTCAGTGTGCCTTTCTTTCTTTTGAACGAGATCCTACCACAAAACTACCAACCTACACAGTTAGTCACCATTTCAGAGAGTGGTCAATAGGCCTGGGACGATAATCAATAAATCGCACGATAAATGAAATGATCTCCATCATTTTCTCGGCCTCAGTATTTTACCATGTGTCGATAGAAACGGAACAGAAACTGAAAACTGAAAATGAGGAAACCAAGGCCGAACACCGAAACACTGAAAAACGAAACCTCAATCAAATCAAGCGGCCATCGCGGCCCAGATCATTTCTCGTGCGCGCTGCGTTATTCCCTCATCCAAGTAATGATGTTTCTAACGTGGATCAAGTAGAGTCAGAGTCAGAATAGACCTGAGTCAAACAGAATAGATCTGGGTCAAACAGAATAGATCTGAGTCAAACAGAATAGATCTGAGTCAAACAGAATAGATCTGAGTCAAACAGAATAGATCTGAGTCAAACAGAATAGATCTGAGTCAAACAGAATAGATCTGAGTCAAACAGAATAGATCTGAGTCAAACAGAATAGATCTGAGTCAAACAGAATAGATCTGAGTCAAACAGAATAGATCTGAGTCAAACAGAATAGATCTGAGTCAAACAGAATAGATCTGAGTCAAACAGAATAGATCTGAGTCAAACAGAATAGATCTGAGTCAAACAGAATAGATCTGAGTCAAACAGAATAGATCTGAGTCAAACAGAATAGATCTGAGTCAAACAGAATAGATCTGAGTCAAACAGAATAGATCTGAGTCAAACAGAATAGATCTGAGTCAAACAGAATAGATCTGAGTCAAACAGAATAGATCTGAGTCAAACAGAATAGATCTGAGTCAAACAGAATAGATCTGAGTCAAACAGAATAGATCTGAGTCAAACAGAATAGATCTGAGTCAAACAGAATAGATCTGAGTCAAACAGAATAGATCTGAGTCAAACAGAATAGATCTGAGTCAAACAGAATAGATCTGAGTCAAACAGAATAGATCTGAGTCAAACAGAATAGATCTGAGTCAAACAGAATAGATCTGAGTCAAACAGAATAGATCTGAGTCAAACAGAATAGATCTGAGTCAAACAGAATAGATCTGAGTCAAACAGAATAGATCTGAGTCAAACAGAATAGATCTGAGTCAAACAGAATAGATCTGAGTCAAACAGAATAGATCTGAGTCAAACAGAATAGATCTGAGTCAAACAGAATAGATCTGAGTCAAACAGAATAGATCTGAGTCAAACAGAATAGATCTGAGTCAAACAGAATAGATCTGAGTCAAACAGAATAGATCTGAGTCAAACAGAATAGATCTGAGTCAAACAGAATAGATCTGAGTCAAACAGAATAGATCTGAGTCAAACAGAATAGATCTGAGTCAAACAGAATAGATCTGAGTCAAACAGAATAGATCTGAGTCAAACAGAATAGATCTGAGTCAAACAGAATAGATCTGAGTCAAACAGAATAGATCTGAGTCAAACAGAATAGATCTGAGTCAAACAGAATAGATCTGAGTCAAACAGAATAGATCTGAGTCAAACAGAATAGATCTGAGTCAAACAGAATAGATCTGAGTCAAACAGAATAGATCTGAGTCAAACAGAATAGATCTGAGTCAAACAGAATAGATCTGAGTCAAACAGAATAGATCTGAGTCAAACAGAATAGATCTGAGTCAAACAGAATAGATCTGAGTCAAACAGAATAGATCTGAGTCAAACAGAATAGATCTGAGTCAAACAGAATAGATCTGAGTCAAACAGAATAGATCTGAGTCAAACAGAATAGATCTGAGTCAAACAGAATAGATCTGAGTCAAACAGAATAGATCTGAGTCAAACAGAATAGATCTGAGTCAAACAGAATAGATCTGAGTCAAACAGAATAGATCTGAGTCAAACAGAATAGATCTGAGTCAAACAGAATAGATCTGAGTCAAACAGAATAGATCTGAGTCAAACAGAATAGATCTGAGTCAAACAGAATAGATCTGAGTCAAACAGAATAGATCTGAGTCAAACAGAATAGATCTGAGTCAAACAGAATAGATCTGAGTCAAACAGAATAGATCTGAGTCAAACAGAATAGATCTGAGTCAAACAGAATAGATCTGAGTCAAACAGAATAGATCTGAGTCAAACAGAATAGATCTGAGTCAAACAGAATAGATCTGAGTCAAACAGAATAGATCTGAGTCAAACAGAATAGATCTGAGTCAAACAGAATAGATCTGAGTCAAACAGAATAGATCTGAGTCAAACAGAATAGATCTGAGTCAAACAGAATAGATCTGAGTCAAACAGAATAGATCTGAGTCAAACAGAATAGATCTGAGTCAAACAGAATAGATCTGAGTCAAACAGAATAGATCTGAGTCAAACAGAATAGATCTGAGTCAAACAGAATAGATCTGAGTCAAACAGAATAGATCTGAGTCAAACAGAATAGATCTGAGTCAAACAGAATAGATCTGAGTCAAACAGAATAGATCTGAGTCAAACAGAATAGATCTGAGTCAAACAGAATAGATCTGAGTCAAACAGAATAGATCTGAGTCAAACAGAATAGATCTGAGTCAAACAGAATAGATCTGAGTCAAACAGAATAGATCTGAGTCAAACAGAATAGATCTGAGTCAAACAGAATAGATCTGAGTCAAACAGAATAGATCTGAGTCAAACAGAATAGATCTGAGTCAAACAGAATAGATCTGAGTCAAACAGAATAGATCTGAGTCAAACAGAATAGATCTGAGTCAAACAGAATAGATCTGAGTCAAACAGAATAGATCTGAGTCAAACAGAATAGATCTGAGTCAAACAGAATAGATCTGAGTCAAACAGAATAGATCTGAGTCAAACAGAATAGATCTGAGTCAAACAGAATAGATCTGAGTCAAACAGAATAGATCTGAGTCAAACAGAATAGATCTGAGTCAAACAGAATAGATCTGAGTCAAACAGAATAGATCTGAGTCAAACAGAATAGATCTGAGTCAAACAGAATAGATCTGAGTCAAACAGAATAGATCTGAGTCAAACAGAATAGATCTGAGTCAAACAGAATAGATCTGAGTCAAACAGAATAGATCTGAGTCAAACAGAATAGATCTGAGTCAAACAGAATAGATCTGAGTCAAACATGTGCCGACAGACTCTAGGAGTGGACTTTTCACCCCCCCCCCCTTGAAATTCCAACGTTGCACTTTGTCAAATCCGATGGTCTTTCTCAGATATGTTAGCATACGTCCACAGACATGTTGGTACGATCAGAAAATCCCGCACTGGCTGTTTTTTTTTTTTCTTTTACAACTTCCTGTTTCGGGCGCGTTGTTTCGGCTGAAAATCAAAAATACACTTTAGGGCGATTTTCAGCCAAAAATTCGGTGGTCGACAATCGGTGCGTCCCTAATTATCATTACATCAGTGGATGATTTGGTCTCAAATAATGTGGACAATAATATTGTTTCTCGTCAATAATAACGGTTGTTATGGTCACAGGCCTAGTGGTCAACAGAGGTCTACACAGGGTCCTGGGAACTCCATCCACCCCGGAACATGAATTTGTAACATGTGAAAATGAAGGATAAAAGTTCAGAGTCGTCTTTAGTCACAGGTTTTTTCTTCAACTTTTTCTCATTTCTTTCTTCTTCTTGTCGTCCTTGTTTCTGTTTCACTTCCATCGTCCCTTGGGTTTTGTCCTTCATGATATGTTGTCCCTGGCCTTTCTTTGGGGACATGATGTCTCTTGTTCCACTTCCATTGAAGTTTTTTTTTCTCCTCCTGTGAAGAATCCAGCTCAAGGTTTAGATGCCCACAAATCACAGTCTTCCTCAAATAGACGGTGCCCGTTGTCAACCATGCTGCAGCCACACGTGCTGATTCAAGGAGAAGCTGTGGCTCTGACCGGCTTTTTACTGACTGGACTCTGAGTTTTATCTCCATCAGGATTTATCCTGACCCAGTTTTCTGACGGAGGTCGTTTGTGCCGTGGTTTGTCTTTGTGAACGCACCGAAGCTAATTTAGAGTTGTTTTTATAGTCGACTGACCATCGGACCGACTGAACAGGTTCAATGACCAACGTGTAATGGCCCACGTGTTGCCATGTGCCGGGAAGTCCTGGCTTTAATCTGGTCACCGTACGGCCACGCCCACGCCCACGGCCATGGCCACGCCCACGGCCGTACGGTGACTAAGTGGAACTAACGTGGTTGGATCTGAGCCACCGTCTGGAAAGAAACACATTCAGGTTGAATGTGTTTCAGCTGCTGAAAATGTGTTTATGTTTGAGGGGGTGGTGGTCAGGGGGGGGGGGGGGTATGTTATCAAATGAGGAACCATTGGACAGATAAACCATGGACAATATTGATCCACTGAAGTATCTCCTGATCCCGTATCAATCTCCAATATTCCTGGTGTTCATTTTCTTTCCCTCTGTTCAATCTTTGTCTCATTTCTTTACTTCTTTCTCGTCTATAATCCCAGCTTCCTGAATGACGTTGTGGTTTTCTCTCTCCTTCTGCAGGAGGGTCTCCATCATGGAGGACGCAGACCAGAACATCCATCTCAGGAACCTGTCTCTGCAGCAGGCGGGAAACGAGGAAGAGGCCCTGAACCTGCTCTTCCTCGGAGACACCAACCGTATGATTGCAGAGGTGAGAGCTGTGTTCCCATCATGCAACAGCACAACACCCATTTACAGTAGTAGGTACTTGAAACAGTCAAATACACACGCAGTACTTGGATGAGTATTTCTGGTCCTCAGACCTCCCTGTGACTCACCTCAGTCCTGTGAGCTTCGTTTGACACTGACTTCCAAGTCAAACCAAGAATTATGTCTGGAATTCTGTTTATGTTCATGTGTGTTGTTTACTCTGAGACGCACACACACACACACACACACACACACACACACACTGACACGTGGTGAACCAACCTGAGCCGAGGTTTTCACAGCAATCACACCGTCAACACAACGTTTCTGCATTAGTCATCAGTTTAGTTGGTTTAGTTAGTTTAGTTGGTTTGGTTTAGTTAGTTTAGTTGGTTTAGTTAGTTTAGTTGGTTTAGTTAGTTTAGTTGGTTTAGTCATTCTGGTTAGTTTAGTTGGTTTAGTTAGTTTAGTTGGTTTGGTTTAGTTAGTTTAGTTGGTTTAGTTAGTTTAGTTGGTTTGGTTGGTTTAGTTGGTTTAGTTAGAGACAAACGTCATCTCCACACTGGCCACCAGGTGGTTTTGTGGTTTTTGTCTTCACTTCTGAAATGTAACAAAATGAATCCTTTAAAGATAAGTTTGAAACCTCCCCAGTCGTAGCGGGGTCTCTGTCAGGCGGTCGGGGGTGTCGTGCAGTTCATCAGGCAGCCTCCAGGGCAGTCCACCCACACAGAGACCGTTCTGTTCTCCAAGAAGAGTTCTCTCTGGTGCCTGAAGCAAACAAAGAGCTGTGGTTAAGGCTTTAGCTCGGTCAGAATCCTCCCTGGAGCCCGTGGACCTCACTCAGAATGAAGTGCTTTCATTCTTCTCTCACTTCCAGCAAGGATTAAAAAAAAAAAAAAAACAACTCAGCCGTCCGTGAGCTGACTCACTGTAACACCTGAAAACCCTCCCAGTGGAGTGGAAACCAGAATGAAACTCTTCACCTCTTCACCTCTTCTTTCTGTCTGAACTTCTCTCTGACGACGACAGTGTGCAGAACAATTTAAAAACGCTGCCTTTGTCCAAAAACTCCCTGCAGTACCTCCCCAGTCCACCAGGTGAAACCCACTGAAGAAGAGGATTCTGGTTGTATTTTAGATACATGGTGGTACTCAGAGAGATCAGTGTTTTCTCAGGTGGTTCAGAGTAAAAGACGTTTGAGAACCACTGCTATACATGAATATATTTTCATCCACTTATCTGTTACCGGGTCGCAGGGGCAGCTGTCGCCACCCACATCACACTGCACCGTATCAACCCCCAGAGGCAAGACATTGTCTCTGGGCCAAAGTGCCACTTGAAAAAATTTTAGAAAAAAATATTTTTTTTAAAAATGTTTTTTTCAAAAATAATTTAGAAAAAAAAAATTTTTTTAGAAAATTTTTTTTTTTGAAAAAAATTCCAAAAACGTTTTTCAAAAAAATTTTAGAAAAAAATTTTTTTTGAAAAAACTTTAGAAACATTTTTTTTTTTGAAAAAATTTCCATCCATCCATCCATTCATTTTCATCCACTTATCCGTTACCGGGTCGCGGGGGCAGCAGTCTCCACCCACATCACACTGCACCGTACCAACCCCCCCTGAACCTTCCTGCTGGTGGTGAGTCCACTGGAAGGTACCAACCACCCTGACCAAGAATCAAACTTCCCCAACAGGTGAACCCTGGGGTTCCACACCAATGACAGAGACATTGCCTCTGGGCCAAAGCGCCACTTTACAAAATTTTAGAAAAAACATTTTTTGAAAATTTTTTTTTCAAAAAATCTTTTTTTCAAAAAAAAATGTTTTTGAAAAAAAATTTGAGAAATTTTTTTTTTGAAAAAATTTCCATCCATCCATTTTCACACCAATGACAGAGACATTGCCTCTGGGCCAAAGCACCAATATATATGAACATACAGTTAACTAATATATAAATGCAGAGTTTTTGTCCGTTTTCCCTCAGACTCCCATGAACCAGGCCTCCACTCGATCGCACTGTGTTTTCACCATGCACCTGTGCAGACGGGAACCCGGTTCAGCCACCGTGCGGCGCTCTAAGCTGCACCTGGTGGATCTGGCTGGTTCAGACCGGGTCAGCAAGACCGGCCTGTACGGGCAGCAGCTGACGGAGGCCAAGTACATCAACCTGTCCCTGCACTACCTGGAGCAGGTGAGTGTCGGACCCCACAGTCTGAACCAGCCAATCACAGGGACTCTGCTCAGACACACCTCATTGGCCTGTTTCCATTGTCAGGTGATCATTGCCTTGTCAGAGAAGAACCGCTCCCACATTCCCTACAGGAACTCCATGTTAACATCCGTGCTCAGGGACAGTCTGGGGGGCAACTGCATGACCACCATGATCGCCACCATGGCGATAGACAAGAGGAACGTCGACGTGAGTACGACCAGCACAGGCACACGGTTGTTCAGTCAGAACAGTAACCCCCTCCCCCCCTCTGCCACCCCCCCCCTCTGTTCTCCACAGGAGTCCATCTCCACGTGTCGCTTTGCTCAACGCGTGGCTCTCATTAAGAACGAGGCCGTATTGAATGAGGAACTGGATCCTGCTCTGGTGAGACGACCAGACACGGCTACAAATACCTCAGTCCACCACAGTCACACCGCAGCAGCGTGACTTCATCTGCTGGTTCATCAGGACCAGACCCTCCTCACGGAGCCCAGACCCTAGACTGATCTAGGAATGAATCCAAGTGACCACGTGTGACCACGTGTGACCACGTGTGACCACGTGTGACCACGTGTGACCACGTGTAACCACGTGTGACCACGTGTGACCAGTTACCCTCTGTAGGGTACCTCCACAGGTTGTTATTTACACAGTCTGTGGGGAAACAGTTCCAGTTCCACTGGTTCTCCTGGACCTGAACATCCCATCATCAACTCCCAGCGTGTGTCAGTGTGTGCTTCAACCTCAGGCCAGCGGCCCCTGACTGGTGCCACAGCAGTCACTTGGATCGGTCACAGATGAAAACATGTCGCTCTGACGTCCGGTTCCAGACAACTGTTGCCTCAGGATCTGAGCCAGACTGAGTCAACACAGCTCCCACAGTGACACACCTGACACTGAGCTGCTAGGAGCCAAAGGTCAAAGGTCAACCTTCATCAAAGTCATCAAATGTCCAGAGTGACCGAGCAAACTAGAAAGGCTCTTCCACTGCCCCCGGTGGCAAACAAACAAACGCCGGGCTCCTGAGAAACAACTGACCGTTAGTGGGGTTTTATTTGGAAAGTCCAGACATGGCCGTGGTCCAGCACCAGATGTTGAACCACCCGGCCACTGAGATGACACACCAGAGACGCCAGGAATGTTTTCACGTCCGCAGGTCAAACCTTTGTCTCCACTGGGTTTCTGTTAAAAATGTCTGGTCCAGGTTCAGTGGACACTTGACCGTGGTCCAGCAACAGCAGCTAGAGGTCAGTGTTTCTCACCTGTTGTCGTCTGTGACTCATCCAAAAGGTGGGATTGTCAATGTGGACAAATGTCCATAAAAATGTCCAACGGTCAGAGAGAAACTGTCTCTTCATAGAGTTGGTGACACCAGTCGGGGGCCGCTGGCCTGAGGTTGAAGCACCCACAGACACACTGGGAGTTGATGATGGGATGTTCAGGTCCAGGAGATCCAGTGGAACTGGAACTGTTTCCCCACAGACTGTGTAAATAACGTGTGTGTGTGATTGTTGGATTCATTTCACAGTTGAATGAACCTGAATAAAGCGTACATTCGTATTGTTTCCATGTTTTGGAGAACCTTCTAGTGGTAGTTGTAAAAAGAGCAAACATTTTTTCCTTTTTCCTTTTTCTAGACTTTTCCACTTGGATGAACACACGTTAGACTTTACCACAAAAATATGAAATGTCTTGACTAACAGGCTGCTGCACTCGGGGCTGTTTTTATAATGATTATAATTTATTGATATTTATAGACTCTTACCCTTTCTCTGGTCACTTGGTGCAAATTTGGAAATTTAAGTAGTGAAAAAGCAAGGTCTGGATATTTAGCATTTTATAAATACAGTAACCAAAGCCGGTCGGTGGTCACTCAGAGCCACCAGTCCATTGGCTCGTGGTGCCCGGCCTGGACCAATCTCATGCCGGCAAATACCAACAACAAAAAAAAGTGTTTTTCTACCAATATAGCTATTTAATACTTTTTTAACTTCATGCTTCCTGCATGTCCTAACTGGAGCGTCCAGTCTGGAATCACTTCATTTAGACCTCAAAACGCCACAGACATTCCTGCCGCAGATCGTTTTCAGGCAGTTGTCTCATCAGTTGGCAGCGGTGACGCGGTGACGCGGTGTCTGCTCCGTGTGCTGCAGCTTCACTCTCTTACTCTGCTTCTGTTCCAGCTAATCGCTAACCTGAAGAGGGAGATCCAGGCTCTGAGGGAAGAGCTGGCCATGGTGACGGGAGAACAGAGGAGTGAGCAGCTGACCCTGGAGGAGATCCACAGGTGGGTGCTTCCTCCTCCTCCTCCTCCTCCACCCTCTGCTCCAGTCTTTACACCTGACCTACTGTCAGGTCCAGTAGGGCTTTGACAGGACGTGACAGAGTCAGATGTTGACGTGGTTTTGACCAACAGACGGTTTGGTCCACGATGTTACTGGGTGTCAGAAAATGAAAGGAAATATTGTGATATTTCAGTGTATTGATATTTTCTTACACCCACATTTGAAACTGTTTTCTTATGAAAACTGTTGACATCACTGTACACGACAGATCATCACAGGACTCCAAGACAATCAAAAAGGAGTTGCACCGTAACGTACTTCCACCGCGTCCATCAGGATGTTTGTCTCCGCGTCTTTTGCAGTAGCTGTTAGCAGAGTGCTAAGAACCGATGTTTGGACACATCATCCAGTGATAGTTTATCAAAGGAACCAGCAGAGTGGAACTGGAACTGATGTCAATGTAAATAGTTTTCTTTGAGTTTTAAACAAAAGAGAAAAACGTTTTTAAACTCAACACTGTGTGTGTGTGTGTGTGTGTGTGTGTGTGTGTGTACATTTGCAGGTTAGAAGAATGTGTCAAAGCCTTTCTGGACGACCCTGATCCAGCTGTGACACTGTTACTGGGTCCAGACATGAGAAGAATCCAGTTCTGTTTCTCTCTGTTTAAGGTAATTTTCACCGTCACGTCTTCATGTGAAGTATTTGAACATTTTAAAAAAAAAAATTTTATACAGTCGACAGTTCTTCATCTCTCAGGTGAAGGCACCGATAAATATTTTGCATCATATTTGTGGGAAAGGGTGCCCCTAGTGGTATATTTCAGTATCTGAAATATTATTGCACGTTCCATTTTTGTCATTAGAAATTAAATTTTTAATTACATTTCAATTAAATCTGAACATGAACTTTCATCTGTTGGTGAAACATGTTCTGGACGGTTGTGTCTGATGTGTACTATATATCTGATGTGTACTACTTCACTGTGGTAAAATCAACCAAACAGTAGTATTTGGCCAAAGTATTTGACATGTACACTCTTCTGTCCCAGGGACCGTATATTAGAAACACTGTTGATTTTCCCGCAGCTCGAAGTCTAGACACTTATTTGCCATTTCATTAGATCGACGGTGCTACGTCACACTGACGTGCTAATGTGAGATTTCAGGGTTGGTTGAGGCGACATCACCGTACCTCCGTAAACAGAGAGGACGACTTTAAGACACAGCGCGGGGCCGTGATATTTCATAAAGGTCAACAACGTCAGCGAACCGCAGCTTTAACACCAATCACCTCATAGAACCCGTTTGACATTATCATCCATAGACCTTATATAATAAACGGAGACGTCACGACTCTGCAGGTTGGAGTTGGAGTCGTAACGTGATGCTGCGTTTAGGGCACGTTGGTGGAAAGTTGATTATGTCGTCAGTAAACACTTCCCACATGTTTAGGTCGGTATTTGATTCAGAGTAATTTGATGAAGATGATGATGATGATGATGATGGTGATGAAGATGGTGATGATGATGATGATGGTGATGATGATGATGATGATGATGATGGTGATGATGGTGATGATGATTGGACCGTCTCCTAATTTTATGATGTCCCTCCATCATTTATAATGTGGAGGTGGAAATAGATGAAGACATATTTAAAACAGTCCAAAGCCGGGGGTGAGGGGCTGGG